GAATTTCAGTTTTTGTTTTCCTTCTGATAATAAAAGAATTATTCTTGATTTCACGTCCATGTGGAGCATTCATCAATATGCATTAAGAATTTAAACATGTCCGCCTCCTGGCCAAACGAGCAGAGCCCATAACCTGTCCCGCTGCACACTTGTGGAGCACTCGTCTCCAAGCTAATCACGTCTCCTGGGAAACTCAATGACCCAGTGGCAGTAATGAGGGAATCATTCACTTCTCGTCGTCACCATGGTTACGTGGGGATCCACGACGCTGCTGAGAAAGGCCCCTAGGCTGGTGTTCCCCCATCTCCTCTTGGGGGACCCCCAAACGGCACACATTTTTGCTCCCTCCTAGCTCCCTGCCACAGAGCACACATTCATGCTCCTTCCTGAAAGGGAGCAAAAATGTGCGCCTTCTAGGGGTCCCTGAAGACTGGGCTGAGAAATGCTGCCCCAAGTGACCGCATAGAGAATGGGCGTGGCTCCCAAATGCTTATCCAAGCCCCCATATCCCCCGCACCGGGAAACTGTTTACCCTTGGCTCCTGTTACTTCCTCCTCGAGACCCCTACTCACCCGAGAGACTGGGGACGAGCCAGGAAGAGCTAAATGAGGGAGCCGCAGACATAAAGGATGCATTGAAGGGGACGTCGGGAAGGAAGACGGAGAGGCGACGGCTTTACAGTGCAGGAAAAGGCGCCCTAATTACCCAGCCAGCTCACTCAGCACTTTCAGATAGCCAGTCCGACCAGACAGACTCTCGCCTGACTCCACTGATGCGTCTATCGATACCGGCGATGACGTTCATCGCAGGCGAATTCACCAAGACATGCCCGCCAGCTGACAAGGCCGGCACATTTTTATTTATCATTCGACCTCTGAAACAAAGGGCATTTAAGAGCATTTAGGCACGGCACCCCAGGGAAGCGCACTAATTCAGGACCGCACACTCCGCTCCAAACAAATTCCTGTCTCGTTAAACACTGGGAGAAGCTTCTGCAGTAGAAAGCAGTGATGGAAATGAAGGGCACCATAGAAATTAAAGCAACACTAATTAGACAATGGAAAGTCCAACTCCTGACACAAACATTCTCATATTATTCTTCAGTTTTGCTAGTATTAGTCAACATCTCCACCCTCTTGTAGAAACCCGGTACAGCCACAAACTGCTCGGGCCGAGGACCCATGATGCTGGATTTCCTGGCCTGCTTGGGGATTCTGCCCTTGACATATGTCATGTTACCACGCAGGGCCTCTTGGCTGTTAAAATGCAGCATAGCAATTAACAAAAGTTGAAACCGATCTGGTAAATTTCACCTTAATTCCACTCGTTTTACAGCATGCAGTTTAAGGCCACTGCACTCATCTGAATCACCTTTCAAATGTGACCACAAAGTGTAGACAAACAAGTTTTTGAAAAGCGACACCACACACAATAAAGAAATTATATGATGTTTCAAGATTCATGAGAGGATAACCAAGGTGGCCATTTGATCCCGACACCGGCCTTCAACACTGGGCATCAAATAAACGGCTCTCTCTACAGCGCTGTCAGGAGGCTGATGGGTGTCTCTTCTCGTCCCGAGTGTCTCTCGCCGGGCAGCTGTTCTGTGGTTATGCGAGACGTTTCTTCATTCAAAATGTTCCCAGATTCCTGGGGAGTAACGCAGCGGCTTGCCGGCTGCCAGCACCGGGAGTGTCGCTGCTATGCCGATAGAGGAGAGATTTCAGTAACCAGGGAGCCTTGGGAGAGAAGACCTGCGAGATCTGTGCTGTGTGGGTACAGTCTGGGTATATATCAACCAAAATATCAAAAGCCCTCTGGACTTGTATCTATCATTCCCAAAGATGAACTGATGATGTATTGGCTGCAATAGGAGGCCTTACACCATACTAATAAATTACTGTGGTCTAAAACCAGGTGCTTCAGTTTCACTGTCCAACCCCTGGGTGTGTGTGTGCGTGTGTGTATGTATGTATATGTATGTATGTATGTATGTATGTATGTATGTATGTATGTATATATACACACACACACACACACACACACACACACACCACATCATTAAATTAGTTTCCACTCAAAGGTTTCTTTTTAAATTCTGGAACACATTCACATTTCCTGCATTGTGAAAAGGTCCCTTTCACTGATCTCCAGAGAGGGATTACAGTCCTCATACCGGCTTTGATGCGAAGAGTTTTCAAGGCGAGGATTTCCTGCATTGTTTTTTTTTTCAGCAGACAAACTTCAGGAAGTTTAACCACACAATGTCTTTATGGATCACAAGAATATATAGAGGAAACGGATAATAGCTCGTCCTGACATTCGTGACTTATCGGTTACCGACGGGCTGATGTCTTTCACACACGCGTGCGATTTCCCCACATACTGTAGGCCCAATGAGCCGTTGAGAGAACTGCCAGTTTGAACAAATGTTATATTAAAAGGAGGATTTATTTCTTTCCCGGGACACCAGCAAACGACAGCAGCCAGAGCAGAGAAAGAAAGACATCCCACTGCTGAAGGGCTGGACTTCTGGTTTGTTGTTACATTCAAAGAGGAAAACGGAGAATAATAACACTGAATATCAGGAAACGGCCTCATACAAGAAACCTGCGGCTTCTGACTCAAAATGCACCATCATTGTTCTTTTGGAGGGCTACTTATTTCAGCTGAAGGTCTCCACAGCTACCAAACAGGCCTTTAAAAAAACAAATGCAATGCAAGGGTGACAGTCTATAAAGACGTTTACAGAGCTGCAACTAGACAAACAAAACACCCAGCATTCACATAGGCTTTAGAAACCGAATCTGAGCTGCAGGACCTCCAGTAACAGAAATTGAGGAAATCTGCAGACTTGGCCCCAAACATTTATCATTCAGTCTTTCCTGGCTGTTCACCTGGTTCGGGCATGAGACACTTGCTCTTCTGTGTGAGGTAACATTACATCTACCCAGCAGACGCTTATATCCAGTCGCTGGGGAAACTGGGGGTTGAGGGCCCAGCTCAAGGGCCCAACGGCAAAATCACTCAGCTGACCCTGGGATTCAAACCAGCGACCTTCCGATCACAAGTACAAGTGTCTGCAGAGCCATACAACACTCCCGAAGATGAGGTTTTTGATCATGTATCTGAAAACAGTTCAGCAGGGTTTTCATGACCTCATGTGACTGTGGTTCTCCGTGGCTCCCTGGTGGGCTGGGATTTAGACAATGGCCGCCACTCATAACATGGATGGGAACCCATGGGGATTTCAGTGAGGCCACTGCAGCATGAGAAGGCAACGCCCTTGGATTGAACCCCAGATTGACACCGATCACCGTGGCAATCTGGCCTCGCTACATGGAGTGCATCACTCAGACCACGACACCACAGCCATTCCTCATGCCCGTAGGGGGGGCTCATTCGAGCAAAACTTCTGGTTAATTCCTTCACAGTCCTCAAGGCATGTCAGGGGACCTCAGGATCAGCATTCCTGTCCCACCTCCGGCAAAAGGCTCTCTGCAGGGTGTCACTGTTCTGAAAACACCACAGATTCCTGACACTTGGAAGATGAGTCTGATTATCTGCATTATCATGCAAGCACATCACAAACGCAACCCTGCAGGGGGCTTCTACAAGCATGATGGTCAGCATCATCGGGGAGAATCGGGGGGGGGGGGGGGGGGG